CCCACAGTTTATGTTTTTAAACCCATTTTGCACAGAGAGGCATTTTTTGAAAAATGTTTGAGGTGTGAAATAAACCGCAGTGGAGCAAAATATGAGTGTGTGTGGCTGGAGGATGTGTTTGTACGTCCGCGTGCACTGCTTTGCTCGTAAAACTAAGGAGGCCTTGCAAAAAACGTTTGGGAACCACTGCCTTATACTAAGGCACTAAACTCTCATGTGGGAGTTTATTTGCTGTTACAGTCCAAACGATAGATCAACTTCAAAGTTTTAGTAACATTGACTAACAGCAGCTAACAGAAATGAACAACCCCAACAGCAGCATAAAAACAGCAGTGCATCCAGGGAGAAAGCTTATGGATATCCTCAATAACTCATCTCAGTATCACTGTCAGTGGACAGAAGTGTTTTTTCTGGCTCATCAATTCTTATCCACATCTATTTACTCCTCTAGAATAAAGATACAGGACTACATATTGACAGCTGAGGTAAACAATGGACTAACAACCTACTACACAAGTACACAAGCCATAGTTGTTTATCTATTAGCTTAACATATCTATTTGATATATAGATAGATGTAGCTATATAAATGTGTGTGTTTTAAATTCTAAAATATTCTAAAAAATTGGCTGATATAAGATGAAATAAGTCATAGCCATAACTAGTTTCCTGGCTAGCTACCAGACACACACAGAATTGAAAATAGTGATAGTTCAGATAAACCACATAATTAAGCTCAGCCTCAACCCTGATAGATCAAGCTTATCTCTGTGCACGCTCACATCACCTTGTGGTGGTCAAGCGACACCCTTCAGAACCCTGCTGGACAATCACGTAATCAAAGCTCTAGCCCATGACCTGGTGTATTCTAGTAGACAAGTTTGGGCATAAATTACCAAATGACATGTGGTTTTGTAGTATTTTAAGCTTTGTGAGTCAGTCTGTCATAATTCCACCTCATTATAAGACCTAAGTGATGGAAGATAGACGAGACAGGATGGTTGAAGATAGAGGGATGAAGGAGATAAGTTTTCAATTTTTCTCAGAAGTCGGGTGTCACGTAACAGCTGCTGCATGCTCTACAAGGCAGTCCACACAACGTCCAGCACATGTTGCATTCACACTGGACAGCGCATTCTAGTACACTTCCTCCTGTGACATCCTGTCAGGCAAATGGCTGCAGGACAGCTGGATTCCACAGATGGCATTTGACAGGAGATATTCCAAGCATTTAAAATACGATGCGACTGCTCCTATCAGCAGAAGGGGCTCCTACAGACCACTGATTCATCATTTACTGGAACTGATGGAAAAGACAATGTGACGATGTCGTTAAAAAATGTCCAGACACGTCGTGTGTAATAACTGTTTGTACTAGATGTGATTTTTATTACATTGTGTCCAGTTTGGCCATTTTTGCGAGTCACATCTGCGTTATCTAAAACACAAGAAATCACCCAAAACACTAACAGTCATTTTTTGATCTAGATGTCTGCGCAGTTGGCCAATAAACAGTTTCTCTTGCCTTATGCTCCAGGCACAGACATTTGAGTAATTGCATCAGAGAAACATTGTTGAAATATGCATCACAGAAAAGAAAAAGCAGAGTCCGACCATCAACAGACACTCTGCTGCATTCTTATTGTATATAATGTAAAAAATATGCACTCAGAACTGTCTGAGTGCATGAGTGTGATCATCTGCTCTCTTAGTGTTTTTATCGCACACGCTCAAACACACACAAACACACGTGCGCTTCCAGACAGTTCAGATGAGACTTGTCACATCCGCTGACATAGGCCCCAATTAAAGGGGAGGATTAAGCCAGGGCTGGGTGACCTCCTCAGGAATCTGTCTGAGACACTGTGTGTACACTGTCAAACCCCCTGACAGAACTTCCCTTAAAGCACTTTCACCTGCTAATTAAGACGGGACCGGTTCGCATGTGCGTGTCGGCGTGCGTGCACCTGTGTTCATTCAGCGTACTCGCAAGACAAATGTACCTGCGAATGTCGGGGATAGATTTACAGCCCGAGGAGCTTCTATGTAAATATTTGACTTGAGAATCCTATGGGTTTCTTGGAGCTCACTCCAGCACACGTCAGGCACATGGGCTAACAGCAAACAGATAGACCGTATCATTTATTACCTTAAATTATTGCGTGTTTTGGTGTGCGCATCTCACTGGTGTGTGCAGGGGCTCTTCGGCAACAAAAACCAAGCAGTGTTTATGGTGTGAAGAGATTAAAATGGATAGTGGCGAGGCAGAAGCACTGAGCTGTTGCTGGAAAAAAGCTTTCAATGACTGATTAGCCCTCTTTCGCTGCAGTTTTTACACAGTGTGGAGAAAAGGCCTGTAGTAATCACACACTTGTCTTTGGTATTCTCTCTATTTAGCAAACTGAAAACGGGCAGGGTGGGAAATTAATGGAAAAATAACTTTCAAGCCAAAGTTGAGGTGGAGAAAAGCCTATAAATAGGGGGATACAAAGAGAAAGGGTCAAAAGGAGGCGAGATTTTTCTTAAAAACAAATTCTTTTGAATCATCAGATTATAATACAGAATAATTTGCTAGTAATAAACAAGCTAAAATGACAATGCTTGTTAATGTTTTAGAATAAAATCCCTGTTAAGAAACTAAAGAATATATTTTCTGGAGCCTTGCACACCTGCACTGCTCCTGGTGTTTTTCTTTTCATGCTCCGGATCATATTCCATATAACTTTCCATTCAAATCTAAGGATAAACAGCAACGGTGAAATCCTTGATGTGTCCGGCCGACGTCCAATGTCGACAGAGGTTTAGGAGGCTCCGCACCTGGTGGGGCAGCAGTTGGCGAAGGCTGCCCTCAGAGGAGAGTATGTGGTGGGGATCACATGTTGAGGACAGGAGAATATAATATAAACTGCTGTGTGACTGAGCAAACTCAGATTGTACAAAAAGTCGACAAAGACAAGTAGCTCACAGAGGTTTATTTTAAATGCTAGACTGTTTCAGTGGTCATCAGTGTTGCTGTTGTTGAGGCAGGCGTGTCTCATTTACAAGGGAGACCTGTTTGTATATCTCATGGTTTCAGAAGTCTGAAAATCATTCAAATGTAAAGCTGCAAAATAAATAATGTTACTCAGAACATGCATGCAAGATGTAAGTAATTGGTTATGTTTGTTTGTCTGTTTAGTGTCCACAATTTTCAAATTTTGTGTAGTTGTAGATGATTTAATGTTAGCTGGGTTAACGTCCAGGCCAAAGCAAGTGTGAAAATCGGTAAAACGTTATATTACCAGCAGTTTTTATGGGTCATTTTCAAATGTCACAACAATATACTACTATTGTTAGTGCCCGAGGTCAAAGTTCA